CCCGTCCCCGCCTCCCCGCGCGGGCCTCCCCGCGGCCCCCGCCCTGCGGCGCCCCCGCCGCCCCGGCCCTGGCGCAGCCCGCAGCCGGGCAGCTGCGGGAAAGTTCGCGCCTGGGCGCCCGGCTCTGCCCCCGCGGGCTGTGCGGTGTCCGGTCCCCCGCGCGCGGCTCGGGTTCGCGGCCGCAACTTTGGCCCGGCCCGGGGCGCTGTCCGGGGCGCGGTGCTGAAGCGGTGGGCAGTGGGGCTCCCAGCCTCGGCGGCGCGGAAGGCAGGCCGGGTCGGGAGCTGCTTCTGGTGCTGGTTCGTCCCGCTTCCCTCTGGCACAGACTCAGGGCAGCGCTCAGGGCATGCGAGCCAGTGGCAGCCGCGGGAAACCCCGCCTCGGCACCGAGGAAGGCTGCCGGCGTCTTCCTCCCCCCAGGCCTGCCCGCGCGCCCCGGTTTCGCTGGTGCCGTCGTGCGCTTCGCAAGAGTTTGGCGTGTAAAACCTGGAATTAGAAAGAAAAAGGGACGGTACCTTTGATTACTGGTGCAGCCCAGCGGGGCAGGCTGCTCTGGGCAGGGTCCCCCGTTTGCTGTCTAGCTGTGCAGACGCGTCCAAGCGGGGATAGCAAGCGTTTTATTCCGAGCACTGACCTCGCTGGCATATTCAAATGAGTGTTATGTTAGGAATACACCATTTAATGAATTGAATTCCCAGTCGTATCGCATGAGCTTTTCGGAAATATGTTAAACGCCTCCAGAATTGGTCTTTAGACTTAATGGCACATCATCTTTGTGATGCTGGATGTTGTATTTTGATGTGTGATGCAGTTCATATTGGGTTTTATTGAATAAAAGTTGGTAGTTTTTGCCATATTTTGGAGGGGTTGTTATATCAGAGTGCTACCACTAGAGGTATATAACGTCAAGGAACTACGTTTTCTTTTTCTGTTTAGAAAACGGCATTTTTTCCTTGGATACATTTAAAAAGAAAAATCCCAGACACTTAGTATTGATATTTTAAATATTGGATGCTACACACTTTCTATTAAGTAACAATATTTAGGACCAGAGGAACGTTTTCATGTGATAGGAAAATTTGCAAAAAAATGCTTTTAAAACAATAGATACCGAAGCGTTTGCTGTCATCAAGCGAGGCATCTTACTGGCTCTCCCCGTGAGGGTTCGGTTGTTTCAATTCCGGAGACAGTGTCCTGAATCGCCTGCCCCTGCCCACGTTCCCTGTTTTATTCTGTGCATTGGGCCCTTCGGTTATCTGATACTTGGATTTTCTTTGCTGTAGAATCTATTTGTATTGGTGAGCCTTGGGAAACTTTGAATCTTAACTCCTTAGGTATTTCCATTTTGAAAATGGTTAAGTGTTTTTAAAATGACAAATGTAATTAATACAAAATGTTATATCGAAAGGAATTTTATAAAATACAGCTCTATACAGCTAAATATTATTTAAAACATTCAAGAATTTAGAAGGAATGCCCAGAGCTTCTCCTTTCCATGGTGGTTTCTCATCATCTAAGGGCAGAAACACACGTCTTACCATGTCCTCCTCGTGGTTTTGTGCTTGGAAGCTCTTTTCCAATATTGAAGAATGCAGTGCTGGTAGTGCTCTGTGATGATTCAGGTATTGAAAACTTTGATAAATATTTCTTTGATTTGTAAATATTTATACTCTTTCTCGGCTGGGGAAAGAGGAGATTTTTCTCATGATCAAATGCACACATTTTAAAATTCCTTTTTCAAAGCAGTAATCTCAGCGTCTGTCGGTGCGGAGCAGAGTGGATGAGCCAGGCTAACGAGCACTGCCTTCTCTCTCTTGGCTTGCAGTGGCTGCTGGGGGGCCCTTCCGCGCCCCTGGGACTGCCCCCCGCTTCTGCTGTGGAGCTGGTGCCCCTTTTCCCACACGTTATTGGCCCTTCTGCTCTTCCGCCTCCTATTGGGAAAAGTTGGATAGATAAAAGGATACCTAATTGTAAGGTATGTGAGTAATTTAATTGGATAAGTGGGCTTTTAATTATTAAGTTGTTGGGTATTGCTATAACAACAAACATACCATCTAATTTCTAATTGCAATAAATTATAGAGAGATCATTTTGGAATTAGAGTGGTCTGTTCAAAAACATCAGCCAGTTGGGAGGACTATTTTGTTTTAGCTTAAAATACTTGGATTCCATCGAACAATGTACAATTTCCAATTTCTGAATCAGAATTTTTTTTAATTTTTGTTTTTTTAAGTCTGTAACCATGTTCAAAATCTAGCCTTAAACATTATATATAAGTTAAAATTTTAAAAAGTAAGTTTTTCTTGCTATTACTGCTTTGCATTTTCATCTTTCTGATGTTTTTTTTTTTCTGCTTTTGAATTCAAATTTACTGACTACATTTGGCTTACATGAAAACTGGAGAAAAAGTAAAACCTTGACTTACTGTCCAACATATTAATGACCCCATGGTGATTCTTCAATCTGTAAACTGACCACTGACCACTGGCCTGAAGTGACCAGGTCCACAGTTGAAGAAGAGCCCAGGGGACTTTACCTAGGAGATGATCCGTACCCGAGCCCTGTAGATCTGTCTCTAAGTTTAGAATGGTGCTCTGATAGAGTCCGTGTTCATAGATTGCCCAGTGTTTGATCAGTGCGAGACAACGTAAATGTTTGCATGGTAGTGTTTAGCTTCGTCACGTGCCTTACCTTACGTGTTATACTTGCATGATGTTTGCACAGATCTTCCTAAATAATTCCTTTGCTCTGGACTCAACGTGGATACATCCTGAGGAGTCAAGATTGTTCCATGGGCATGAAAAGCCTCACCTGCTGGCCAATCAGGTAGCTGTGTCTCTGTCGAGGCCAGCCGCTGTCTCCAGACCGCTTCCCACGGTGGTGTTAACATCTCAGCCTATTCCAGGTCGGTGACAAAATAATACTGACGATGTACAATTTTTTTGCTTTGGTCATAAGTGGATTTTAGGTATGAAAACCATATTTGTCATTTTAATGAACTAATTCTCTTGGTAAAATATAATTTATTTTCATGACCATGAATCCTTTTTTAATAAAAATTGAGTCTTGGGTAGCTTATTTACTATCTTTTTGAATATAGGATCCATTTTTAAGGTGAAGATATGGCGGAGGGGATGTGCGCAAAATTGTACTCGCAGTGTCCACTTTCAGGATTGGACCGTGATTTCTACTGATAGCTCCTAATAGGGCACTAATTGATCAGTCAACTCATTAAAAAATGTTACTTGTTGGCGTGAGGTGCATGCCGTGAAGTTCACTGGTGTGTGGGACACAGCTCCATAAATGATTTCGTGAATCTAGCCTTCACACTGGGGGTGATACCGGACATGGGCTATAAAGTGCCCTGTTCGGAAGATGGATTTTGCTCTATCTTTGGAGTCTAGTGACCTGAAAGAACATTTGTCCTGGAACAGACTCACATGAAACAATCCCTGGATGAAAGATTGTATAATAAACCTATATAGTAACAGGAGAATAAAATCATCTCGTGAATTTTTAAATTGATTTTTAAAATCACCTTAACATACGATCATTTTGTAAAAGCAAATGCTGCCCGTGCCAAAATCGTCTTGCAACACCTTCCATTATGGAATATTTTATGACTCTAGAATCACATTATCTGCCTGTAATTTCCTGCCTACCAAGCTTGTCTCAATATGTGTCTCTAAAATTTAGTAGTAAGAAGATCTTCCTGTGGATAACGCGGTGCTGGTTTAGGAGATGTATTTATTTTCTTCTCTGTTTGCCTGCATGTTTGTTCCACTTTGCTGTGAATCTTGCTTAGCGATGAGTCAGGGAGGACAACTGAACTATCTGTGTTCCTCACGGGTCTTAATGACTCTCGAGTGAAGCTTGCCGTCTTGCCTTGTGATGATTTGGTGACTTGGTGCTTGGCTGGCAACTGAGTGGGCAGGGTGCACGCAAACACCCGTGAACACCGTACGTTAAGATGCCTGTGTTCCTATTTAATGATGATGAGGATGACTAGATGGCTTGTATTCTGAGGGGATGACATGGCTTTGAACGGCTCTTTTGATTTAGGAAAAAGTATTTCAATTTCCTAGTGTATTGGCAACCACCACGAAATAATCAGCAAATTTAGTTTTAAAACAGTGAAATCAGTTTGACGGTTCCACCTTAATCCTGGAGTGAACGTTCCTTTTCTCAGCTTATCCCTGAATATCACAGAGATGTTTTCCACCGTTGGCTTCATCTTCTTCTTAGGGAGCTCGTGCTGTAAACACGCTGCATGTCTGTCTAGCTGGAGAAGCTTACGGCAACCGCTCATAGATTTTCTATGTTATGGACATTGTTCACTTACTATTTTGTGGTACATATTTAATACGTTTAATAATATGTTTAATGCATGGTACGTATTTAGTATGTTTTTATTTCAAAATATTAAGGAGGTACAAATGTCTTAGGTTACATGGATCACTTTTGTAATGCTTGAGTCCCAGGTATAGGTGTGCCTGTCACCCAAACAGTGTCCATAGTTCCCGTTAGGTGGGTTTTTGTCCCTCCCCTTCTCCTCCCTCCCCCTGGTTGGTTTCCACTGAGTTTTACTTCCCTCTGTGCACATCTGTGCTCATCGGTTAGTTCCAATTTAATAGTGAGTACATGTGGTGTTTGTTTTTCCATTCTTGAGACACTTCACTTAGGAGAATGTCTCCAGTTCCATCCAGATGGTTGCAAAAGGTATTAATTAATAGTTTTTGTGGTCAAGTAGAACTCCATGGTGTACATACACCACATTTTATTAATCCACTCATGAATCGATGGGCCTGTGAGTTGATTCCACATCTTTGCAATTGTGAATTGTGCTGCGATAAACATTCAGGTGCAGGTGTCTTTTTGATGAAAAGTCTTCATTTCCTTTGGGTAAATATCCAATAGTGGGGTTGCTGGGTTGAATGGTATGTCTACTTTTAGTTCTTTGAGGAGTCTCCATACTGTTTTCCATAGACGTCATACTAATTTGCAGTCCCGGCAACAGTGTGGAGGTGGTTTTTTTCTCTCTGTATCCACACATACATCTGTTGTTTTCGGAATTTTTGATGAATGCCATTCTAACTGGGGTAAGGTGATAATCTCACTGTGGTTTTAATTTGTATTTCTCACTTTATTAGAATAAAAGTCATTTTAATTTTACCTTTTGACTTTTTGACAAATGTAATAAATATTAGAATAACCTCTCATTCTAACGTAGTCTACTATTCATCAAATCTTTGCTTTTTCTCTTCCCCATTTTTTCCTTGACTTAAGGATCACAAGTAAATATAACATTAGAATTTTATGTATCTTCTGGGGGAGAAATGTCTTGATGCCACAGGTAATTTAGTAATCATCTAATGCATTTGTTCTTGAGAAAGGAGTTTCTGAATTGCTTCATGAAAAATTTGATTTTTTGATATATATTAGAATTATTAGAAATTGCTGAGCTTTGGAAAGCATATGTTGACTGTCCCTTAGTTCGAAGAGCACATTTGAAAGGTGGTTTATGTGTTACCGACTGCTTAGCAGAGCGTCTGCGAGGGGGAATGAGTGGATGAGGAAGGGAGGGTGAACTCCCAGCAGCTAAAAGCTAGGAGACACCTTTCGATTTCACTGCAGTCGACGAGAAAGCACAGCGCTATTAAGATATTTACGTGTAAATTCTCAGATATGCTGTTATTGTTAAAAATTACTATTAAATTTTTACACCCTATTATAAACCAATGTGTA